GTTGATGTTCAAGCATGTGCAGCCACACAGTGCTCCCTGACTGTACAGGAGCTCAACAAGATTTGATGAGACCAGACTGATCAGACTCAATTCAACACAAAGATTTATGACATAGGCTACTGTCATTGTATTGGTGCTTATGATTGACTGGATTACTGATTTCATTAACCTGCCTAACTTGTTTCTCGTTACCATCTGTTCTAGTTCTAGTTCATCTGATCAGCCTGCTCCTGCTTCTATTTAACCTGCCTGTTTCCAGTCATCAGGTGAGAATATTCTCGATCCAGTGGAGAAACTGTAACAGTGTTACCTTAGTTTTCTGACTACCTGTTCTGCCTCTTAACCACTGAGCCCTCCTGTTTCCGTCTGATCAATTTTAACCCTTAGCTTCCAGTCATCAGGCCGGATAATTCTCGATCCATGGTTGAGAGTTCTTCAGCGTTATCTTATGGATTCTGATTTCCTGTTCTGCGTCAACCACTGAGCCCCCCTGTATCCATCTCATCAATTTTAACCTGCCTGCTTCCAGTCATCAGACCAGATTATTCTAGATCCAGTGGTGAAAGTGATTCAGCGTTACCTTAGTGTTTCTGATTACCTGGTCCTGACCTGTTCTGCCTCTCACCCACTGAGCCTGCCTGTTTCCATCTGATCTGTTTGCCTTGACCTGTCTACGGACTCCTGTTGGATTCTGCCCGTTATTCAATTTGCTTTCTGTCACTGATCTGGATTTCCCTCTGGATCCTTTTCTGACTTCTGATCTCCTGGTTCTGAATCCTGAGCACACCGGCTTTGCCCTCTGGATAATCCTGCCCTCCTTCGTCTGCGTGGATCTGGTCTTCTGCTTGTTCTCTGTCCTCTGGGGCTGTGGCATCTGGGACACTCTCAGCAGGATCCTACTTTGTTCTCTGGGCATGGACCAGGCTATAAAACCAGGTTAGTGACTCACACCTTCATAATCATCCTCTTTTAGATTATTGTGGTCCTGAGTTTTCCTCCTGCAGATGTTCTTGCCTTAGACGTCCTTGCTGCTACTGCAGATCCGCAGTTTTTGAGACAAACATTTTTTAATTATCCGACTGTCTGTCTTGCCTTGAATAATGGGTCCTCTGATCTGAGCCTTGACAGCTAATCAGTTTCTTTTCTTACCATATAGTTGATTTTATATTATTATATGATGCTTCATATAGTCGTTAAGATGAAAGTTTGTGAGGCATTGTTGAATACTAGCTTTAGGAATCAATATGCTAGAAATCCAGCTGTTAGCTTACACAGTGATGAATCTTTGTTTTCTTTAAGCTAACCCGGTGTGCTTTGTCCAAATTATTTTTTTTTTTTCAGTAGTCTTACTTACGGAGTAAGTCAATAATAAATCAAATACTAATATTTTAATGTACTGTATTATTTTCTTTAACTGTTGAAAGTGTAAGAATCAGCATTGTTGCTGATACAAACTGCTGAGGGGACTATTGTTGCCGGGGCAAATTATCCAAGGTTCTGTTCCACCTAAGCGGCAGCTCTGTTGACCTTTTTAACTTACTGTTTTTCTTTTTTCTCATCATTGGTTGGAACTAACATGGGGGAGTACTTGGAGAAAGCAGTCCTCCTGGTCAAACCCATTTGTGTTCCTGTTTGCAAATAGCTTCTTTGCTCTAAAGTCTTGGTAGTGATCTTGTGCATGACTATTGAAACTGAGAAGGCTTGCTGCTGTTATGTGCTTTATAAGGATATTATTTTCCATTTGTAAAAGCCCATTTGCAACCATTTGCAATTCCATTTGCAAATTTCCACTGCATTTGCAATGAAAATTTTACTTGGAAATATTTATTGAAATTTTACATTTTTATATATATTTTTTCATATATTTGCAGGTTTTGTAAATTTTGTATTTTAAGAAATATTTACTGTGATATTATTGGTGTGAGGATATATTTCATCAAGAAAATAATACATAATTATGATCGCAACATTGATAATTAATAGTTATAATACATAAAAAATAATTAGCATATAGTTGTAATATTATATAAAATATTCCAGTATGTTAAATAATTGATTCATATTAACAAACCAACTTAAGTGGGTTAAAAAAAACCAACAGTGTAGCTAATATCAGCCCTTGATTGGATTATATAACCAACCTAATTATGTTGTATAAAAAAAACCCAGTTGCTGTTTTAAGGGAACCAACACAAATTGTTGGGTTCGATTAAACCAGTATGTGTTGTGTCCAATATTTAACCATCGCTGGGTTGGGAAACTACCCAAAATGTGTTGTTTTGAACCGAACATTTTTAGTGTTTATTGTGTTTTTTTAGTGTTACATGCAGCAATGGTTCTTGGTTAATTAAAATAATTTTTCAATTCTTAAACTGATATACTGTATCTGACAGATTTTTCTGTAAAAGGAAATAAATTTAGTGATTTTTAAAATATATTTAGCTGTTTTGTTTTAAGTCTAGGTCATATCTTCCCTTTGTCCTTACTCACGGGTATTTGGGATTCGGTCTTCTTTTGTGTTTGTTTTATGATAAATATTGGGTTTATTTATGTTAATAAGGTATTGGCAATACTCAGCTATATGCCCATTTAAATACTGCTCTTGGAATTTTACATGATAATTTCTGTGTGTTTAGTTTCTTTTTCTTTGTTTTCTTTCCTCTATGCATCATGATTTATTAAATTACCGTAGGGATGGATGTGTTTTTTTATCCTTAGTTGTTTGTTAAAGTAAAATCCTTAAACAGTAAGATGATAAGAAACATAGCTTTCTGTTTACAGGAAATAAGCTGTTTTTAAACCACAGCGGGATGGAATCTTTCAATTTGATTTGAAAGATTTTCATCTTGAAAGAATGCATGGAAACTGTAACATCATTGGCCACATCTGCTAAGGCTGGTTACCAAGGAAAGAATATGTGGTGCAATCAATTATTCCCACTATTAATGAAAAAACAAATGGAAAACATTTTATTATAATTTGTTCCAAATATAACACATCACAGAAAAATGATTTAAGTTCTGTCCAAATCACAATTTCTGATTTGTTCTCAAGGTGGCAACACCATATAAAAGGTTTGTTTTGCTTCCAAGTATTCATACTTTGTGATAAGCACAGCGTCCAAACTCATAGAAGACCCATCCACTGTAGCTAACATCAAACCCACAAAAGAAAGCAGAGGGGTCATTAGTTCGATTGATAAGGAGGAGGGGAGCTAAAAATGCTTTACACTGCTTAGACAACACATTTTCATACCAATCCTCTAGCTATACTTGAAATAACAGATCACTGTATGGATTTCCGCACTTTAAATAATAACTGAATTTACGACCCAAAATCAAAAGTGGAAAATCATATTTCCTTTTCCTAAATAACAACTACCATCCAAATTCATATCTGCAAATAAAAACATAAAGCAGCAGAGGGGGCATTTTTCAGATTATAAGGAGGAGATTAAGAGTACCATGTAAATGCTTTATATTACTTAGAAGAAATATTATACAAATTTTATACCCTGCCCACAATAGATTACTGCACAGATTTCCACACCTGAGATAACATTGAATTGAATTTGAATGGTCAGAATGCTGACCATTCTCAAAAATTGAATGACATTATAAATTCAATTAAATTTTATCATTGAATTGAATTTATAATGTCATTCAATTTTTGAGAACAGTCAGAATGCTGACCATTCTCACAATTGTTCTTGGACACACTGTGAGGAAAAAGTTCTGCTATGCTGTTGTGTCAAGGACAGGCAGAGAACCCCCAAGGCAAAACAACGTCTTGTAACATTTTCTTGCCTGGTCTACATCCCTAAAAACACACGCACAACCACAAACTGGGATAAGGGCGTTGAGATAATAGCTGCTAGCTTGTTAGAAATAGGAGGGAAATTTGTAATTTCGAGGCAAATTATCTTGTATGACACTCAAAACTTCATGTCAATAGTTTTTGGATTACAACTGCGAGCAACCATAGTTCCAACAATAGAATTTCGTCCTCTTTCTGAAGTCGTAGGGAAGCAGCTGTTCGAACCGTTGCATTTCCGAATTCTCCCGAGTGGTGCCCGACTTTCTGGGGGTAACTGTATATAATTCAAAAGCTTTGACATCCAATTTCATTCTTTTTAAGACTTTTTTAGATATTAAATCTAAATGTGTAGATTTAAGACTTTTTAAGACCCTGGGGGAACCCTGTAGAATATGTGCCTTTCATTACTATTGTCAAAAACAAAAACTAAGCATTTTAGAAAGATAAATACTACCAACAGTCAAACATGGTGGTGTTAGTATAATGACCCAAAACTGCTTTGTTTTTATGGAAACTTTCTTCTTTTATGGATATGGACCTGGACATCTTCCTGTAGTTTTGATAACTATTTAAGGAATAGTGTGACCAGATTCCTGTACTATGACGTAATGAATTATTGGTAGTTTCACAACAATAGTTGTAACCTCCATAAGTTATACAACATTATTTTCAGATCTATCCTAAGGTTAGTTTGGATAGTTCTTTTCCCTTAAGAAAGATTTTGTTTTTACTCAGGTTTTCTTTTTCTTCCACTACTTTTTCTGTTGTGATCTGAAAGACTTCTGTAGTATACCGTAGATAAGAGAAAGCAGAAAAGACTTATCTTTTGAGGCAAATTACCTTTTGAGGCAAATTATCTCCTAAAAAACTATGTCAACAGTTTTTGGATTACAACTGCTAGCAACCATAGTTCCACTAATATAATTTCTTTCTCTTTTTAAGAAACATGACCTAATATCCACAAGGCTGCATTAAAACAACACCCAGCCTGCTTCCCAGAAACATCTTGTCACAATTTGCTGCCTGGTCTACATCCTTAAAAACACACACACACACCCACAGACTGGGGCAAGGGGGGGAAGCAGGGGCCGTTGCTTTGGGGGAAATGGGTTAACGTAAGGCAGTTAGAAAAGGGGTGTGGAAAAAACTGAGCCAGGGAGGCTGAGGGAGTGGGCTCATATAAAGAGAGAAGGAACACAAGCCAGGCTTTATCCTTCTCGTCTTTCCCGCTCTCAAAGACCCCACAAGAGTACCTCCGATTTTTCTAGCCCACCAGCTCTCCCTCATTTACGGCATTTTTTTTCCCTTCTGACATTTACACAGAAATTCCCGCCAGACGTGCTGAATCCGACTAGAGAGGATGGCTGCATCCATGTGGAGAATGAATGGGCTCTGCAGAAGCATGAGTGGAGTTCTGCTGCTCTGTGCTCTATTGTTCAGCAGTGAGTAGTCTATTTTGGGTGTTATTGCATGTTGCTTCACTATTTTATACATTACTTAAGATGATTCAACAAAGACTTTTATTATTCTATACAGAATTAATTTTTTATGGTTTTAAAATATTTCCAAATATTGAGGAAACAAAATTTTTATGTATGTGGTTGTATAAACCTTAATACCTATTTGTGTTGTAGGTTTTTTTTTTTTTTTTTGAGAAATCAAGTACAGACATGAAGGTACAGACATGTTAATGGTGTGGCGGCTGCAGACACAAAGGATCTGCTTGGAGAGAGAAAGTTTCAGTTGAAAATCCTCATGCTCTACATCCTGTCATATGTCTGGGTCAAGCTATAATGTCTTTGAGTTTGTGAAAAATGGATAAAGCCACAGTCAGTGGCTCTGCATTTGAATATCTTACCAGTCTTTACATTTATTGGAATTAAATAGGTGATCAAAGGTTTCTACAAAATGCATGTAGACTAAAAATGAGCATAAACTCCATCCTAAAGGTACTTCCTCTTAATCTGGTGGCTTTAGTAGTAAATGTTTTTGCTTACTTTTAGTATGCTCCAAACCAGTTCAAGGCTTGATGCTAATTGCAGGGTGATACACGGTTTGGAAGGAGTAGTTGTAAGGCGGTGCCGATTCTACTCCAGTCTCATCGTAATGACTTCTGCAGAACTGTAAGGCCTCAGACATATTTAAACATTTGGATTGACCTTGGGAGGACCTAGAGGAATATTGTAGACTGATGGAAACAGCAAAGCGTTTACTTTAACAGAGAAATAATCATGAGATGGCGGAACATGTTCATAGCTTGTGCAATAAAAGGGCACACCACAATCCCTCTTCTACTGCAGCAGAGAAACAGATGGTAATTAGATTTACATGAAAATCTAATTACTTTTGGTACTCCCCATCAAGTCAGCTAATTTTTTTTTCCATTTTGCAAACTAATATCACTCATAACAAACTTCACCTAAAGTTTTCTCTCTAGCATACAACTTGGTCTCTATTTGTCAGCTAAATTTCGAAAAGCAGAAGAACACAAATAATAGATAGTTCAGCTATTTCTCTGCTATACATTTGTGGTAAATTACTCATAGCTGTTTTTAGATGCATAAACTGTACTATGGCATTAAGAGGGGCTTCAACAAAATGAGACATCTACCAACAAGTTTAACTTAAAAAGATCATAGCTGTTTATGTGAAGACTATTTTATAAACCTCTAAACCCTTGTCATGTTTGCTTTAGGCAGTTATTTACACAAGCTCTCAACTGTGTACATATTACATGGTGGTAAACCTAAATTATTTACAACTACATGACAAAAAAAAGCTGCAATGATTACACTTCTGGTCAAAGTAACCTTCCTAACACAAATGTGGGGCAGCATACCATCAATAAAACATTATTTTGAGGTGTTAGTTTTAATTTCACCTAATTTTGCCCTTTCTACAAGACAGTTGCTCTGACCAGAAATACTTAAGATGTTTGTTCTAGGTACATTGTTGACACAGGAAAAGAAGATAGGGGGTAGGGCACAACCAGGGAGTTTCCTATGTCAGTAAGGTCAGCTTCAGTGTAAACAACCAACCAATGGATTCACAGCGGGGATTGAAAGGTTAATGATGTTAAGTTTACCCTTATTAACTTTCTAGAATTTCAATTGTTTTAAGATGGTTGGAGTCTATTATGGTCTTGAGCCATTTCAGACTAACTGTTAGACAAAGAGTGTCAAATGCCTCTGTTCAAATATTATTAGGAGTTAAATTATTTCCAGAGAACCCTGCCATAGCCAAAAAGAGTCAAGGACTAAATAAGATGTCAGTCATTTTGAAATCACCAATCAATGAAACTTTTACAGCTTTTACAAACAAACCCTATTCTCACGCTGTTTGATGCTTTGTTTGTGCCACTCACAAAACTGTAGGTGTTTCAAAGTACAGCTTTTCTGAAGGACCCAAGACAAAACCCTCCCGAAAACATTTCTTTTAGTGTACATTTTTACAGGCCATGTTTGGTTGAGTGGTTATGTAGACAGAAGTGGTGAATATTTATCTGTGATATGGGTGTAAAGGATGATTGGGTGAAACAAGGGTGGTATAATGTGCAATTACTATCTAATACCCAGTGCAATAACCTATTTCTTTATATGTAATACTCAGTACAGTACTTATATAGATAAATTCTCATCTAAACGAATACCCATGTAAATACCCTGTGCAATAACCCTGTATAATAATCCTGCTTAAAAAAAAAAATGACTTCAGCTGTTATATAGATATATGTGGACGCACTGTATATACTGAATTTACCCCACCTACTATTTGAGCCGATGTAATGAGTAACTTTTTCCACTGTGAGATCAATAAAGGCAATCAATCAATCAATAAATCAATCAATAGACCTGTGGCACTGGATTTATCATTTAATTACTTTACTTTCAAAAACTTTCTGATGGAAATGTGACAAGTTTCAACGAAGTTTAGGTTAAACTAACATACAGGCAGATAGACACTGCAAAGGTGATATTAACTGCTTATAAAGGCCTTTGCACCACTATCACTGTGCTCTTCAAAGTCTCATAAGTCTTATAAGCTTTGATTGTCTCATCCAATTTTTCCACCTTGTGTGGCTTTTCTTAGCAACATCTCTGAAAGAGTTTGAACTGCCTTAAGACCACCATAAAAGTCACAAGAGACAATCCAGATACCTTTAAAAATGTAAGCCAGAGTGGAACAGAGGCTGTAGCGATGACGTCAATAGACATTCAAAGACTAGATTGTTATAATGGTTCAAGCTTTTTTAAGCTTGCTTTGATCTGTATGAAGAAAGCTCTTTATCTAAGTCTGTTTCATGCAGATAGTGCATCTTGTTCTGTTTGGTTCTCTGTGAAAAGAATTGACCCATCAGTAATGAATGTTCATAATCTGGTTTATAAATGGAAAAGGCAATTTGCCTGGAAAAGTTTGTGCCCCCAAGGGGTTTTATCCTCTTTCTTGGACAGGGGTATGTTAATGAAGAACATTGGAAGCGAACGCTTAGTCCAAACTTCACTAAGCTTCAACAAAGGCCAAATAACAGGGTCAGCTCGTAACTACAGGAAGCCCCACATGTTGTGCTGGTCAGTTGTACCGAAAGATGACCATGGTTTAAAAAGCCATTAACCCCTAATGGAAAGCTTGCTGGATGTGCTGGGACTTGTCTGACTTGGGGGAGCTCCAGCTCCCAACATGGCTGACTTAAAGGATCAGGTCTTAACCTTTTAAAGGTAGACCCCTCAGGCAACTTTTAGTGGCTCTGGGGGATATCCTGGGTGGTTTGCTTTGGTATTTTTTCAAGGGGTTAGATCTGTTCTGGTCTGCTTCAAAGCTTGCCATAAGCCATGTAAGGGACAGAGCTGATGTGTGGAATAAAGTTGTTGGGTCAGACTAAAATCAAATGGTTTACATTGCAGAAAATCCACATTCCTATGATCCTTAACATGCCACACCCATGATATCAACATTCTGCTTCTGAAAAGCCTTTGTTAAGCATGGATAGATAAGCTGCTCTTAGTTGACAGGAAGATGGATTAAGCTAAATGCAGATAACTCCTGGAGACAAAAAAAAAAAACCTTTTGGAAGATACCCAAGACTTAGGACTTGGGTAGATGTTCATCTTCCTCTTTGGAAGCAACAATAAACATAGAGAAAAAGCTTTTTTGGGATGGTTTACACCAAACATATTCTGGTATTTGAATGGCTCTGTCAAAGCCCAAACTTAAACATTAAAAGTTAGATTCTAAAATTTTAAAGTTTATTTTAAATCATATATCATTTTTTTTTCTTCACTTTGAGATTATGGGCTAATTCAATAGTTTTATCAAATAGTTTAGGAGAATGAGTAGGTTTGAAAGACACTTTTTGGTGAAGTTTGATTCATGTATGCATTACTACATCCTTTTTTAATTAATTTGCATCTGGATTGAGAACATAGAGAGACGTATGAGCAACCTGCGTTGAAAGATTTTTGCCATTTACAAGTAGGTCACTCATTCTAACTCTCAACCAAACAGATTTGGTTTATATTCCCGCATCCCATGACTGCCAGTTAATAGTTATGCAGGCGTGCAAATATGCAGCACTGAAATGGCCATGCTTTGCAAAGTTAGATGATGTCATTTGAAAGTTCTCAAGAGTATGTTATAAGTTTTTTGTCTCTTTTTTTTCACTGAAGATTTCAGGGGAAAACCCATGCTTTACATCTGCTGCAGCCAGGGAGAAAAACATCTTGTCTCGCTTATTTCAGCATGTCATAGACAATGACTCCTCCTGTTGCTGTCAGGGCCTCTGGCCAGAGCAGAAGAAGCTGTGACAATTGCTGTTTCAAAAGAGCCACATTAAAACAAAGATTTGCACTCATGGTGGGAGGATTTTGATGAACACACAAGCCTAAGACGATCAGCAGATAACCTTTTGCACAACCTTAAGGAAAATCAAGAAAAAGGCACTGACTAAATCAACTTCTCCGATGGTTGAAACTTTTGCCTCTGAGATAGAAACTGCTCTCTGCCAATGAAAACACAGGCAGAATATTGCCACTCTTTTTTTCTCATGGCCCAGGGCTGTTGACCGGCATTCTTTAAGTCCCAAGATGTGATGTTGGAGTTCGAATGACGTCATCTACTGGAGGGTGTGGGTTTTTATATAAGCTTTTGGCAGATAGTAGTCTTATGTCAGGCAGGGTGTGTGTCCATCTGGGCCAGAATTTGTGGCTAAGATCCCGTGTGAGCTTGCTAAGTGATTAACCTTGGAGCCTTAGTTCTGTCAAACCACGCTTTACTTTATAAACCTCTGCATCAAGGTTTTCAAGTTGTTGCAAAACATATGCTGCTAGTGGTGGGTCCTCTTTTACCAAGTTTACAGATTTCGGGGCAACAGAATTTTGAATGTTATTTTCCCTCATCCCCAACTTTCTTCATAAGTAAATGTCTCAACAGCTAAACAAAGAAAAAC